GTTGTCAGCACCACGCTCAGCCAGTGAGCAAACCGGCCATCCCTATATAGGATCCGAACCCGTGGCTTTGGTGTTATCAGCACCGCACTCTACCGAGTGAGCCACGGGCCAGCCTTTGGTCATAAAATCTTATCTCCATTAAAATTTAAAGTGTGCGTATACGGGAGTTGGGAGAAACTGGGTAAGAGGCATGAAGAATAATTATGATTTGTAATAATAAATATGCTAATAATAATTTGATCATCACATATTGTACACAAATAATGATAGTCAACACTGTACCCCCAAAATATGCATAATCAATTATGCTTCAATAGAAAAAAAAACACTATCCACTTCACTAAAAAAAAAAAAAGAATATGCATAGATTGATACACATCGTAATGCTAAATGTGATTTAATCTTGAAAATGGAATCGTGGGCGCTTTTTCTTCATTTTGTTGTTGTTCCTCCAGTTTTCTTCAATAACCACATATTTCTTTTGTAATTCTAAAAAACGTTGTTGGGTTGACCAGTTACTCACTTGATTACAGCACAGTGTTATAATGACAAGGTCAAGGGTTCAAACCCCTGTACCAGCCAGCCGCCAAAAACAAAAAACAAAGCAAAAATAATTTCGGGCTAGCCAGTGACTCAGTTGGGAGAGTGTGATGCTGGTGACATCAAGTTTAAGAGTTTGGATCCGCATACTGGCCAGCCACACACACAAAAATAATAATAATTTAAAAAATTTTTATTTAAGTATAACACACATACAGAAACGTTACATACTATGGCCCACTGAAATTCCACAAAGTGAACACCCCATTGCAACCAGCAATGAGAACATTGCCAGCACCCCAGAAGCCTGCCTTATGTCCTCTTCTAAACACTACCTCACCACAAGGGTAAGCACCATCCTGACTTCTATTAGTTTTGCCTGCTTTTAATCTTTATGTAAGCGAAATCATACAGTATGTACTCTTGGCTTCTTTCACTGAATGTTATGTTTATGGAATTCATTTAAGTTGTCCCATGCAAGAGTAAACCATCCATTCTTATTGCTGTATAGAATTCCATTGGGTGACTCTACCACAATTTATGTATCAACTGTTTAGGGGAATTTGGGTAGTTTTTAACTTGGGGCTGTTATGAATAAAGCTGTTTCCCACAGTTTCTTGGTGAATATATGTATGCATTTCTTAGATATAAACTTAAGAATGAATGGGGTAGCCGAGTGACAACTAATTTTTAAAAATTCTCCTGGCCCAGGATGTTCTCCCTGATCAACATTGCCCTCAGCCCATCTTGTAATTTGCATGGTTTATAATGTGTGCACATGCCCTCACCAATGTGTTCATTTTAATCTTCCATCGGTTTGGCACATGTCCTGCAAGACAGCACCTTTCTTCCCTTGGGTTTCTGCTCAGTGCTGGGGAAGGGATGTAGTCTTCGGATGTCATTAACATGTTATTCTGGATAAGAACTAATGAATTCACCTGACTAGGTCAATCTAAATCAGGTTTTTACATTAAAATTTTCCCATTGATGCATAACTTGTGAAACACTATCATTTCACTTGTTCTTGTAAAACACTGTTCTCCTGTCTGGTCAGAGAACAAAACAGGTGACTCCCCAGAGGCCTTGCACCTGCTGCACCTCCTGGGGGGACAGATACCCAGGTTGAGAACTGTAGCTGCAGTAAAACCATGCTCCAATAAAAATAAAAATAAAGGGCTGGCCAATTAACTCAGTTGGTTAGAGCTCAGCCTTGTAACAAGAAGGTCAAGGGTTTGGATCCCTGTATCGGTCAGCCACAAAAAAAAAGAATAAAATTTAAAAAAGTAAAAGCCATATTCCCTCCAAGGATTTTCGGGAAGTGAGAGCTCTCTTAGGAGCAGGGGAGACCAACTCTCATAGTCTTCCACTATATGGTCATCCAATAGGATTTAATAAGTGTATGAAACCACAAACATATTTGTTTCCCAACAGATTGTGACTTCTCCGTAGCACAGAGCTCACATATCACAGAGGACCAATAAATGTTGAAATGTATGCTCTGTTTGAAACAGATGGAAAGAATCAACTAGATAGTTGGCCAGAAGTAGAGTCAATTGTTGAGAAACAAAATCTTTTTCTGTGGAATTGAACTGACAACTTATACGTCCATCATCATGCTATGCAAACTCCATGCTATAGAACGTTCTACAGCAGTAAAATAATAATGAGGTGAATCATTGACTGACATGAAAAATGCTCCATGATTTATTATTAGTTTAAAAAAAATCGAAAATAATATAATTGTATAACATTCTATGGTTTCAAAAAAGATAAAGGCTATATGTTTCTAGAGAGACGTATATTTGTGTAAATGCAGAGGAGAAGGCCTGGAAGGTTACACAACCCACTAATAGCAGTTAGCTCCAGAGGAGAGAGTGGGAGGTTGCAGTTGGGGTCAAGGGAATTTAGCTTTATCTAGAATAAATTTTTCCAAGATTATATTTGTGTATTATTTGTGTAACTGTTAAAATTTTAAGAGAATTTCTCTTTATTTCTACCAATTTCTGTATTACTTGAACAATAAACTATTCTTAAAACGAAGAACGATAGGGCTGGCCCGTGGCTCACTCAGGAGAGTGCGGTGCTGATAGCACCAGGGCCGTGGGTTCAGATCCCATATAGGGATGGCTCACTGGGTGAGCGTGGTGCTGACAACACCAAGTCAAGGGTTAAGATCTCCTTACTGGTCATCTTTAAGAAAAAAAAACAAAAACGGAGAACGATAGACCTCTTCCTGGTACTGCTAGTAGGTTTATCTTTTACAGCTGACTACTCTCTTCTCCACCTAAGCATCACGAAAAACGTGGAGAAAGAGACGGAGTTCCTTAAATGAGCTCAAGCTTCACAAAACCCTGGCCTTGACAGCCAGGGCCTTCAAGAGAGCCTTCTGTGAAGGGAAGCCAGGCATCGATTTAGAGGGAGAGAAAATAGGCGACGGATTTCCATCCACATTTAAAAAGAGTGCGCTTTCCAAGCACTCCGCATATTTCTACCGGGCTATAAAGTAACACAGAAAGTAGTGAAGTGCTTTAATTCTTAGGAGCAGTTGAAGGGAAGGCGAACAAGATTCAGTGGAACAGAAATAGGTGGTGCACATATGCTCAACCAATTATAACCTTAGAGATAAACATGGATTGTGTGTGGCGCTTTACAGTTTGGAATATTCTTCCTCATACAAATAGGGCTTAGGCTAAGGCGTCCAGGCCAAGGTCTGCCACTAATATACTGTTATCTCCACCCAGCAGCGAACATCTTTTTTTATGACTTTAAGTTTCCTCAATGAAACGGGGCTGGGGAGGTGGGCTAAGCTCGAAGCGCAGCCGTTGTCTGATGTCTATCCAAAGCCTAGTGCACCTCCGTGCCAACCAGCAAGCTAGCGCCTCTTCCGCGTGGCTTCGTTAGGGATGCCCGTCATTCCCTCTCCTCAGCGGGGCTACCCAGGTCACCAGAAGAAGAGGTCCGAGTGCGGGACTGAACGTGCGCCTGACTTGCTCCAGAAGGGGTCATTCCCGAGCCCCGGCAGTGAAACACCCAGCACCCAGGCCGGAAAAGGTCCCGCAGCGCTGGGGAGAAGGGAGAGAAACGCGCCGGACGGCTGACGTGGTCCAATCCCGCCATGAGCTGTGGCTTCACCCCAACTGGTGCACTGGCCCCTCCGCCGCCTCCGGGGCGGGGCCGGAGTCAGAGGGGGGGGCGGGCCTCGGACGTGGCCCAATGGAAGCGCGCGCCGGGGCGGTGGGGGCGGGACCGGGCTCGCGGCGCAGGGCCGGGCGGCGGAGGCGCCAATGAGCTCGCGCCGCGTCCGGGGCCGGCTGGTGCGCGAGACGCCGCCGAGAGGTTGGTGGCTAATGTAACAGTTTGCAAACCGTGGGGAGTTGTGAAGGGCGCGGGTCGGGGGGCGCTGCCGGCCTCGTGGGTACGTCCGCGCCGCGTTTGTCCCAGCGCTGGGCCACAGGAGCGGAGACAAGAGGTAGCAGGGTGGGGATGGAGATGCGGGCCGGCCACCCCTCCTAGGGGAGGCAGCGTGCTAGCTCCGGGGGCGGGGCGGTAGCGGGAGTGAGGGCCGCTCGGACTCCGGTGCACTGGGGCCCCCTCCGTGGGCCCCACAACTCGGTCCCCGGGCCGCCCCTACGCGCTAGGGTGGGCCGGGACCTGTTTCCGGGAACGGGAGCCGCCGCCTTCGTCAGGTGAGGATTAGGTGAACACTGGGCACTCGATACCTTCCCGGGGAGGAACCTTACCGCTCCGGCACAGCGTCTGTGTGGGCAGCGGGAATGGGGAAGGGGAGTGGGCGGGACAACCCGCAGGGATGCGGAGGAGGAGACAGGCCCTTCTTCCATCTGAGCCACCTCCGACGTCATCACCTCCCAGTTCCCGTCCAGGCCCAGCCAGCGGGGGATCTTCAGGTGTGGGAGGTAGTTGAGGCCTGGGCGGGGAACCCTGGCCGCACCCTAGGTGTCTGACAGCAGGCACAGTGAGACGGTGCGCATTTACTGCCTGTGCAGTGGATGGAAGGGTCTGGTCTCCTTCCTCCGGTCCTGCTACCGCCTGTTTAGGGATGTGGTGGAGCCGAGGACCCATGCTATTTCGCTTGGACCTTTGTATGGGCACTTCTGGGGATGATTAGAGAGTGAGTGGTACTCATCAGGAGGGAGAGGAGGGAATGGGATGTAGGCTGGTCTGCCCTAGGTGAGAATGGAGGAGGTATTAATCTTACAGCTTCTCTGTTTTGGGATGAGGTTCTGTCTCCTTCACTCAGGGCATCCAGTGACAAGTGTTTTTTTTCCTCGTCCCCCAGGAGCACAATGGCAGCCACAGTCAGGAGGCAGAGGCCAAGGAGGCCAGCCTGTTGGGCCTTGATGACTGTGCTCTTGGCAGATCTGTTGGCGCTGAGTGGTACGTACCCTAGCAGAGAGATCAAAAGAAGAATGAATGAGACGTGGTGTGGAGGGAGCGTAAGGCTCCTGGTTAGACTCCTCTTGAGTTGTGGGACCCAAGCTTTGTACTTTGTCTTTTGCTATCTTCCTTTCTCCGTGGAAAGTAGTATGCTTTGGTTAGAGGGGCCTCAAGAAGGAAGGGGAAGGGAGGCTAATTGACAAACCTGTTTTCTCTTCAGACACGCTGGCAGTGATGTCTGTGGATCTGGGCAGCGAATCCATGAAGGTGGCCATCGTCAAACCTGGAGTGCCCATGGAAATTGTCTTGAACAAGTAAGGGTGGCCCCAGTGTCAAGGGTGGGGAATGAGAGAGTCTAGGCTCCAAGAGGGTGTGTGTTTCAGAGTGTCCACAACAGACTTTGGTGTCTAAGTGGTTAATTGTATGTGGAGTGTCAAGGCTCCTGAGTCCATACCCTGCTGCAGGCACCTGGGCCCAACATCTCTTTTCCTTAGGGAATCCCGGAGGAAAACTCCAGTGACTGTAACCCTGAAAGAAAATGAAAGATTCTTTGGAGACAGTGCAGCAGGCATGGTGAGCTAGCAGGCCCCCTTCCCAGAGTGGTGGGCAGAAAAGAGAAGATAAGATGTAGTCCCCAGAATCTATTTCCTTGTCAATCTCTGGTGTAAGAGGTAGGTGATGGCGGGGTTGGGAGCCTAACACTCTGTTACTTTACCTCCTCTCAGGCCATCAAGAATCCAAAGGCTACCCTGCGTTACTTCCAGCATCTCCTGGGGAAGCAAGCAGATAACCCCCATGTGACCCTTTACCGGGCCCGTTTCCCAGAGCACGAGCTAAGCTTTGACCCACAGAGGCAGACTGTGTACTTCCAGATCAGCCCGTGAGTGTTCTGTTGGGGAAGGCAGGCTCACCAGCCTTGCTGGGCTTCTCATGGGTATGTGTTTATGATTGTCCCGCCTTAATGCCTAGCTTTCTTTGCCTCCAAGTACTCCCTCTTCCCCACACCCAGGCAGCTGCAGTTCTCACCTGAGGAAGTACTGGGCATGGTTCTTAATTACTCCCGTTCCCTGGCTGAAGATTTTGCAGGTGAGTGGCCAAGGCGGGGCCAGTGGTGGCCAGAATCCCCAGGATTTAAAGCAGTGATTCTCAAACGAGAGCAATTTTGGCAATTGGAAACATTTGGTGTAATGTCTGAAGACATATTTGGTTGTCACAACTGTGGAAATGCCCCTGGCATCTGGTGGGTAGAGGTGAGGGATGCTACATAATATCCCACAGTGCACAGGACAGCCCCCACGACAAAAAATTATCTGGCCCAAAATATCAGTAGTACCAAGGTTGGAAACCCTCATCTAAGGTATGGAGCTGGTGGGATCCTGTTCTGTTGTCCTCTGTAGAGCAGCCCATCAAGGATGCAGTAATCACCGTGCCAGCATTCTTCAACCAGGCCGAGCGCCGAGCAGTGCTGCAGGCTGCTCGCATGGCTGGCCTCAAAGTGCTGCAGCTCATCAATGACAACACCGCCACCGCCCTCAGCTATGGTGTCTTCCGCAGGAAAGATATCAACACCACTGCCCAGGTGAGCCAGGGAGGCCTCCTCCCTGCAGGGTGGCTGAGTCTGAGCATTAAGGCCATTCGGCTTATTTTGCATCTTGTTTACATGGCCAGCCCTTGGCAAAATGCAGCAGTAGCCTTCTCTCAGCCCCTGTTGGAGCTGTTCAGCTTTATGTTGAGAGTCGAGCAGCCCCTTGGAGGCAGAAAGGTAGGCACCGTGGAGTTTGGTAAGGTTCCTGTGACAGTTGCCTTGATGTCTCTGCAGAATGTTATGTTCTATGACATGGGCTCAGGCAGCACTGTTTGTACCGTTGTGACTTACCAGACTGTGAAGACTAAAGAAGCCGGCATGCAGCCACAGCTGCAGATCCGGGGCGTAGGGTAAGTGGGTGCTGGGAGGAGGGCTTCTTGTTAAGAACCTTGGGTCAGGGGTTTGTTCTTGGAGGGGCAACTGCTTCACTTTCCCGCTCCCTTCAGGAATACTGTCCTGGTTAACGCATCCGTCACCCTGGGGGACTACTCACAAAGAGTTGGAGGAAGCTGGAAAGAAAGGGAGGACAGTTTGGGAAGACTGAAAGGCAGAGAACTTCCTGAACTTATTCTAAGGAGACCCATGAGGCTGCAGCCATTTATAGGGTGTCAGATTCAGGGCTGGCTGGTTAGCTCATTTGGTTAGAATGCGTTGTTACAATACCAGGGTCAAGGGTTCAGATCCCCGAACTGGCCAACAGCCAAAAAAAAAAAAATTACAGGCAGTGTTATGGGGGGCCAGATTCAATCATTTTTTTGCAGTCTTGTCATTTCCACTTGAATAACTCAACACTCTCATTGTCTCGTTTCTTTTTCTGTCTGTCCTTACTATAACCACTCTAGTCTAAGCTACTGTTGGCCTTTACTTGCAGAGTTAAAACAGATCTCCCTACTTCCAGTGTTGTTTCCTTTCAGTTCTTTCTTTGTATTACAGCCGGAAATTTCTTTTTCAAATATCAAGCTGATTGCAACCTGTTTCCTTAAAAACCCTTCAGTGGTTCCAGAACTGTACCTGTGCCTGTCCCAGCTCTGCCTCCCACGGCTTGTCTCTGGCCCCAGCCTCTTGCTCTTGGAGCTTTGCAGTACTTGCCCTCCTTTGGAACTTGCTGTGCTCTCTCCCAATTCTGTGTCTTTACTGTTCTTTCTGTCTAGAATGTTCTTTCTTCTCCTTTTCACCTAGTTGACTCTAATTCATTCTTCAGATTTCAGTTCAAGCATCACTTCTTCAAAGAAACTTTCCTTAACATCCCTAAATAGTTCAAACTTCCCACGTGTATTCTGTTAGTAATGTCTACTTCTCCCTTTATAACAAACAGGGTGCTTACAATTTCACATGTATGTGGTTATTTGCTAGATTATGAAGTCTTTGGCAGCAGGAACCCTGTCTATCCCTCCCCTCAACCCACATTTGTATTCCCAGAGACAGGTACATAGTTGATGCTCAGTAAGTACTGTTGAATGAGTGCATAGATGAACTATCTCTGTGGGGTGTCAGCTGTGCTATGGGGAGTTGAGGGCAGAGTGAGTCCACCCTGTGCCAGATGGAGATGAGAGTTAGGCTCCTGTGCAGATGGAAGGACACTTTGTGTTCCTCACACTTTTCCTTGCTCCTGTTCCCAAACAGGTTTGACCGTACCCTGGGGGGCCTGGAGATGGAGCTCCGACTGCGTGAGCACCTGGCTAAGCTGTTCAATGAGCAGCGCAAGGGCCAGAGAGCAAAGGATGTGCGGGAGAACCCACGTGCCATGGCCAAGCTGTTACGTGAGGCTAATCGGCTCAAAACCGTCCTGAGTGCCAATGCGGACCACATGGCACAGGTGCCCACATGTGGCTAGTTGAGGGCAAACTTGCCCCAACTTGAGGGTGGAGGAGCCTGCCATTTGGAGCTGGGCTGTGTGTGCCTGGCATGGCGCATGCCCCCTGGCGTCCTCCCAAAGTCCTGTTCCGTTGGTTTCTGTCCTGACCACCCAGAGAGCAGGACCTGAGCAAGAACTCCCTGACACTCCTCATCCTCCCCCAGATCGAGGGCCTGATGGACGATGTCGACTTCAAGGCAAAAGTGACTCGAGTGGAGTTTGAGGAGTTGTGTGCAGACCTGTTTGAGCGGGTGCCTGGGCCTGTACAGCAGGCCCTCCAGAGTGCCGAAATGAGTTTGGTGAGAGGGTAGGGGGAGGTGGGTGTGCCCGATGGGGCATGGGGGAGGAAACACATGGGACATCAAGGGAAGAGTCAGCACTGAGGAGGAGAGTTAATTGCGTGCTGTCCCACCTCACATTCTTTCCCCCTACGCAGGACGAGATTGAGCAGGTCATCCTTGTGGGTGGGGCCACTCGGGTCCCCAAAGTTCAGGAGGTGCTGCTGAAGGCCGTGGGCAAGTGAGTATGGGGGCTGGGGCATGGGGCCTGGTTCTGCCTGGGGCAGGGCTGAGGGGACAGAACCCTGGCTGGGTGCTCCAGGATGAACAGTACTGAAGTTTGGGACTGTCCTAGGGAGGAGCTAGGAAAGAACATCAACGCAGATGAAGCGGCCGCCATGGGGGCTGTGTACCAGGCAGCTGCACTCAGCAAAGCCTTCAAGGTGAAGCCATTTGTAGTGCGAGATGCAGTGGTCTACCCCATCCTGGTGAGTAAGCCTGTCTCATAAGGTGCCAAGCTCCTTTTACCGTGGGATCTCCCCTTCTGCTCTAGCCTGTCCCTTTATTTTTCTGCCAAGGGATATCCTCTCATCCCCATCCTTACCCCAGAACCTGCTCTGGTTCTCCAATGGGGCTTCTCTCTGCCTGCTGTGTAGGTGGAGTTCACAAGGGAGGTAGAGGAGGAGCCTGGGGTTCGTAGCCTGAAGCACAATAAACGTGTACTCTTCTCCCGGATGGGGCCTTACCCTCAACGCAAAGTCATCACCTTTAACCGCTACAGCCATGATTTCAACTTCCACATCAACTACGGTGACCTGGGCTTCCTGGGGCCTGAGGATCTTCGGTGAGGGGCGGGGGGGCAGGATGGGAGCTCTGGGGAGGGGGAGATGTGGCTGCCAGATGACCTGAGGATTGAAGGGGAGGGAGGATGTGCGGCATGCAGGGCTGAAATGCGGAGTGGGGTTAGGTTAGGTTATAAGCAATGCTCGGCAAGTGCTTCCATCACTGTTTCCATTCTCTTGACCTTGGGGAGGGCTCTGACATCTCGTGCCGGGAAGCTGAGTTAGAGGTAGGTTGAGTGGGTCTCCTTGAACTCCTCTTTCCTTCCCACCTAGGGTATTTGGCTCCCAGAATCTGACCACAGTGAAGCTGAAAGGTGTGGGTGAGAGCTTCAAGAAGTATCCCGACCATGAGTCCAAGGGCATCAAGGCTCACTTCAACCTGGACGAGAGTGGTGTGCTCACTCTAGACAGGGTGAGAGCAAAAGGAGACCCCATGTGCAGGGCAAGGGCCCCAAGCCTTTTCCAGAGCAGGTTCCATATGGTGTTAGAATATGAAAACAAAAAGATTTTAGAGTCACGTAAATCTTGGCTCCAAACAGTCAACCAGAGACCTGGTGCAGGCCTCCTCTTAGCCTATTAATGCTTATTGACCTTGTAAGTTTCTTAGAAGGAATGTAAAATGGTTGAACACATTTTTGAAGACCAGTTCTGGAAGTTAATATGTTTTAGAACATATTTTAGGAAATAATGGGCCATCTAATTATTGAGTGGAAAGTGGGGGGCTCTGAGTTGAAAAGAGGAGCTATGATTCTGTTCTCAAAGGACTCATAATCAAAGGGTGGAAGGGTGACCATCCAGGAGTCCTTAGAACAGGCAGGCAAGAGAATAGGCCAGCACAGCTACGAGTTGGGTAGCAGTGCATGTGCTGACACCCACTGTGGCAGGACGTTTGTAGAGAAGATGTGGGTTAGCGTGTGCTTCTTCATTTTGAATGTGTTTTAAGGTGGAGTCTGTATTTGAGACATTGGTGGAGGACAGCCCAGAAGAGGAGTCTACTCTCACCAGTAAGATGAGCATATGCACATGTGAATGAGAGAGAGGATGTACTTGTGTGCCTTCTGGGGCGGTGGACAGGGCATTGCTTTTGGGCCAGGAGGTGGAGTCACTGCTGTGGTCCCTTTTGAGTCTTTGGGCTTTCTTTCCCCTAGAACTTGGCAACACCATTTCCAGCCTGTTTGGAGGTGGTACCACACCAGATGCCAAAGAGAATGGTACTGATACTGTCCAGGTAAGCTCAGGATGGAGCCAGAGGAGTGTGGAGCACAGCATGTGGGGTGGCATGCTAGCCACCTGGGGTTCAGTGGGCCGCCCCTTCCCTGTCAGCCCATGGGAGGTAGCCATGCCCTCCTCAGATTCCTCTCAACTCTGAGCTGTTCCCTGTACCAGAGCTCCCAAGGCCCGTTTCTTCCATCTCCACACGCTCTCCTTTGTCCAGCCAGACTGCCCACTGTGTCCATTGCCATACAGTTGTCATCTGTCTGCCCGCAAGCTGTGTCCTAAGTGGTAAACGCCTTCAAAGCAGAGCCAAAGGGATCTGGCACGACTGAGACCAGGCCTTATCCTTGGGTTCTGCTGGTGATTGTTACCTGCGGGGTGCCTGTGATCATTTCCCAGGAGGAGGAGGAGAGCCCTGCTGAAGGGAGCAAGGACGAGCCTGGGGAGCAAGCAGAGGTCAAGGAGGAAGCTGAGGCCCCCGTGGAGGATCCTTCTCAGTCCCCACCTTCTGAGTCTAAGGGTGATGCAGTCCCTGAGGGAGAAAAGGTTGCAGAAAAAGAAAACGGGGACAAGTCTGAGGCCCAGGTGAGCTGTGGGCAGAGTAAGGCCGGTGTGGACCCAGAGGTGAAGGGAGTGGATGCCTACTTTGTTCCTTGCCCCATGGAGAATGTAGAATGGCCTTTGGGGCCGGCCCGTGGCTCACTCGGGAGAGTGCGGTGCTGACAACACCAAGGCCACAAGTTCGGATCCCATATAGGAGTAGCCGGTTAGCTCACGAATGTAGAATGGCCTAGGCTTTTCCTGACATACCCTACTCTTCCTACCCAGAAACCAAGTGCGAAGGGGGAGGCCGGGCCCGAGGGCATCCCTCCAGCCACAGAGGAGGAGAAGCAGCAGAAGCCTGCCCGGAAGCAGAAAATGGTAGAGGAGATCGGGGTGGAGCTGGTGGTTCTGGACCTGCCTGACTTGCTAGAGGATGAGATGGCTCGTTCAGTGCAGAAGTAAGACTGTGTGTGTGTGTATGATGGGCAGGGTGTGGAATAGCACCCCTGGGAGGGAGAGAGCCATCTAACCAGGGCCAGGTTCTACCCGCCCTCTCCCTCTTCCCTGCCTCTTCGTCCCACAGACTTCAAGACCTGACACTCCGAGACCTAGAGAAGCAGGAACGGGAGAAAGCCGCCAATAGCTTAGAAGCTTTCATCTTTGAGACCCAGGTCAGTAGGCTAGGAGGCAGCGTCCCCGCCCTGGAACTTGTATGGGGGGGTGGCTCTGTGAGCCTTGCCCTCAGGCTCACTGCATACATGAGTTTGTGTGTCTTCCCAGGACAAGCTGTACCATGCGGAGTACCAGGAAGTGTCCACCGAGGAACAGCGGGAGGAGATCTCTCAGAAACTCAGCACCACGTCCACCTGGCTGGAGGACGAGGGCTTTGGGGCCACCACAGTGGTGAGGGTCCTCCCAGGACATGGCGGGTGGCACGAGAGCTCTCTCCTTCCTCCCCTGGGATCAGAGACAGTGAGGAGAGCTGGGCTGCAGGGCTGTAAAGAAGGACATTGGGCTGATGCCCACACTCTGCTCTCATCCCTTCAACCCCTCTGCCCGATCCTGCCTCCATCAGATGTTGAAGGAGAAGCTGGCTGAGCTGCGGAAGCTGTGCCAAGGGCTGTTTTTCCGGGTGGAAGAGCGCAAGAAGTGGCCGGAACGGCTGTCTGCCCTCGATAACCTCCTCAACCATTCCAGCATGTTCCTCAAGTGAGCGGTCCCTGTGCTCTTTATTCTGTCCTGCCAAGGCCACTGACTCTCATTCCTGTCAGCTTCCTGTTACACCCACCCAAGGCCCCTCTTCCTCCTGGGCTGATTGTCTCCTCTCTGGCTTCCAGGGGAGCCCGGCTCATCCCAGAAATGGACCAGATCTTCACTGAGGTGGAGATGACCACGTTAGAGAAAGTCATCAATGAGACCTGGGTAATCACTGTGTAAATACTTAACTGGATACATAGCTGCCACCGTGCACCATCCTGAGAGGCGGGGAGATGGACACAGCAGCCTCTGCCTCCTGGCTTAGCATCTCATTGGGAAGGCAAAAGATGTTTGTATGGGAGCCCACGTTTGATTGGTCCCAGGCAAGGGTCATAGCCATAAGAGTCATTGGACTGGAGGAGCAACAGAGCCCATACCTGTGAAGTTAGAGAAAGTTGCTGTGAGAAGCCGGGCTCAGAAAATGGGCCAGGGTTTGGATGGGTAGAGTGGCATGTCATGTGAAGCAGGAGCTGTTTGGAGGGTGGGGACTCTTTTTGAGCCCAAGCTAGGAAGTGGAGAGGCAAGAAAGGAATAATCGGGGTTCATTCAGTTGTAGTCACTCCAGAGGAACAGGACATAAGCCCAAAATGTATAGTTGAGGACTCCTTTGTGGAGAGCCTTGAATGTCCTTTGGAGGAGTCTGCTCACCCTGTGGGGCTGACATCAGGGGTGGCAGTGACTTGCAGTCAGAGAAGAGCCTGAGGCTGGTTGAGGTATGATTCCATCTACAATAGGGACCTCTGCTCTATCCACGACTAACTCTGAGCCTATCCTGGCCTCACCCACAGGCCTGGAAGAACGCAACTATGGCCGAGCAGGCCAAGCTTCCTGCCACTGAGAAGCCTGTGTTGCTCTCAAAAGACATCGAGGCCAAGATGATGGCCTTGGACCGTGAGGTGCAGTATCTGCTCAATAAGGCCAAGTTTGCTAAGCCCCGGCCCCGGCCCAAGGACAAGAATGGGACCCGGGCAGAGCCTCCCCTCAATGCCAGTACCAGTGACCAGGGGGAGAAGGTCATCCTTCCAGCAGGTGAGGAAAGGGTGCCTGTCTCCAGGTTCTAGTGGGCAAGGAGAAGGCCTCCTTTCCCTTCTGGGACTACATCTCACTCCTGGTTTCCCTCCAGGCCAGACTGAAGATACAAAGCCCATTTTAGAACCTGAGAAAGTAGTGCCTGGTGAGTTGGGGAAACTGTGGTTGAGAAATGGACATTGCGTTAGTCCAGGGGTAGGCAAACTGGCAGGCAGGGCCTGTTTCTGGGTGGCCCAGGAGCTGAGAGTGTTTAAAAAAAAAATGCAAAGATCAAATGTAGTCCACACATTGTAAAGTATTTACTGGCTGGCTTCTTACAGAAAAAGTTTGCCAACCCCTCTGGTAGCCTCTTCCTCCTTTCTGCATAGACTAACATATTCCTTCCAAAAAGCAGGATCTGAACCAGTAGACACCGAGCCTCTGGAGTTAGGCGGTCCTGGAGCAGGTGAGGGCAGAGCTGGAGGTGTGCTGGGAAGCCTGATGGGGGCCGAGGGACAGTTATCTGCAGAGTGCTAGGGCCACTTACCTCTGTTTCACCTGCTGCCCTTCCTCTGCTTTCCCCAACTCCCCGCAGAACCTGAACAGGAGGAGCCACTGACGGGACAGAAGCGACCTTTGAAGAATGATGAACTATAACCCCCACCTTACATGTCCCTATTCATCTCCACCCCCTTCTCCTACCACCTCTATTTATTAAACATTGAGGGTCAGGGGAGGGGGTGGTCCTGCCCTCAGGGGTTCAAGTTCCTTTTCTCTCACCTGAGATTGGAGGTGTGGAGAAGGGGAGGGAAGGGACAGCTCATCAGTTCCTTCTGGAGTAGCTCTGTGGTTAAAAACTGAAACTGTTCTTTCCCCAGTCCCACCCCCTGGTTCCCTACCCATCCAGGCCCTAAATTTGGGAAAAATCACTATTGTGTCTTAATTCTTTTGTGGGTAGGTGAGAGAATGATGGACTGAGACCCGGTAGTGGGAAGGATGTCCTGGGATATTGGAGAGTTTCCAGACTTCTCTGGCCGTCCTTCTTTCCCTCCTTTCTTCCACCATGAAATCCTTTTTGGGCCAGTGTCTATAGAGCCTTGGTTACCAGGTTTGGTTTCTGAGTGCCTATTCTCCCTCCAAGATCTGTTTCCTTTGAAATCCCGCCCCTCCCCCATGGGCACCCCCTCCATCTGCTCTTCCCACTGGTTTCCTGGGCTTCCTGGCGCAAGTCGGGGAGTCCTCTGCCCCTCGCCCAAAGCCCTTCCATCTGGACTGGCTGGAGTAAATCTGAAATATTCCTACCCACATATACTGCCCCTAGTGGCCGGAGAAGGCAGGGAGAAAGTGAAAAAGGGAATCCACTGCCACTCCAGGGAGTGAGATATGTGAAAGCCCCAGATCTCCCACCTGTGGGCTGTTGGTCCCAGGAACGCTGTGTGAAGTGGTTGGCATGGGATGCCAGCATCCTGCAAGCACTGTCAAAATCTGCATCTTCCCTGTAACCTGGTCCCCAGGGTCCTGTGACAACCTGCCCCCTCTCCTGCTGTCCTCCCAGCTTGAGCCTTCCCCTCACCTCATTAACTCCTGGGCTGACCAAAATGTGCTTTCTACTGTGAGCCCCTATCCCAAGACCCTGGGAGAAGGAGAGACCAAGGTGTGAATGTAAAACTGCCACCTCACACTTTGAGACGGGCCTTGTGGGTGAAGGAAGTAGATCAGGGGCTGGCCTTCCTCACATGCATTGCTCTGCTAGGATGGGGGCCCCTCACCCACCATGCAAAGCCTAGGGAGCCTGTCCTCCAGTATTCCGTATGTTGCAGGAGCTAGGGCTGCTGCCCCAGCTCCAGAACAAGGGCGAACCTGGTTGTGTCAGTCATTTTGTCTTTTTTTTTTTTTTTTTTTTGCCACATTGGCAGAGATGAGACCTAAGGGTCCTAACCCCCACCCCCACCCCTTCCACTCTTTGTTTGAATTCTTTCATTAGCAGTTGAGGCTGGTTGGACAGGTTTGAGTCAAATTGTACTTTGCTCCATTGTTAATTGAGAAACTTTCAATAAAATATTCTTTTCTACAGTTTTTGTGCTGTGACTTTTTTAAATGTGTATTTCCCAAACATAAATAATGCATGTTTAGTATAGAAAATTTAGGAAATAGAAGTTTGAGTAATAAAATTAGCTATAATGCCACCACCAAACAATTAACATTTTGGAATTTTGGACTTAGTTGAGATTTGTATATGTAATTTATGGGAACAAAATCTTGGTTTTATTTTTCCCCTGACATTATTTGGACCCCTGCATCCCATGCATTTATAGGTAACGTCCGTCTTTAAGGTAATCCCATTTTACAAATAGAAGTTGGCAGTTCATTGAGGTTCAGTAATTGGTCCAAGGAATGAGTGTTAAGTGCTTCAGCTAGGATCCGAAATCAGTTCTGACCCATTAGCCCTTGCTCTTTCTACTCTTCCACAAGAACGTGTTGCTAGAGATTCACCATTTGTACCACAGTTAATTCAGGTTGTTCATCATTTGAGATACATCCACATTTTACCAAAAGAGGATCTCTGTTCTCACTAATCATTTACATGTGTGGGTAGTTGAATATTTAATGACCATGAAGTTTTTTTTTTTTTTTTTTTCTCTGAAGGTTGAACAGGTCACACAAGTTTTGAAGCTGGAAGCTTTTTTTTCAATGACTTTTTAGAGCAGCTTTAGATTCACAGCAGAATTGAGCAAGAGGTACAAAGAGTTCTCATATATCTCCTGCCCCCATGTACTCAGTCTCTCAGATTGGTACATTTGTTATAAACATGGAAAGTTCTGTATGATACATGTCATTACACATTTGTCAAAACCCATAGAACATGCAACACCAAAACTGAACCTTAATGTAAACTGTAGACTTTGGGCAATAACGATGTGTCGGTGTAGGTTCATCGATTATAACAAATGCACCACTTGTGTGGGATGTTGAGTGGAGGAAGCTGTGTGTGTGAAGGCAGGGGATATATGAGAAATCTGTGTACGTTCTGCTCAATTTTGCTGTAAACCTAAATCTACTCTTCTAAAGTCTTCTTTTTTTTTTTTTTTTTTCCTTTTTGTCTTTTTTCGTGCCCGGCAATGGATCGCAACCCTCAGTGTCGCGCCCGTACCGGACCGGGACCGGCAACGGGATCGCAACCCTCGGTGTTGCTCCCGCCCCTCGCTCAGCCAGTGAGCGGCCGGTCTGTATGTGGGATCTGAACCCTCGGCGGGAGCGCCGCCGTGCTCCCAAGCGGCGCACTGTAGCAGTGCACCACCTGGCCGGCCCTACTCTTCTAAAGTCTTAATCACACACACATCATACCAAAACTTATGGAATTTGGTGAATACAATGCTTACAGGAAAATTTATAGCAGTAAATGCCAACATTTAAAAAATAATGTAACTCCACATCTTAAGGAACTAGAAAAAAAAAGCAAACTAAACCCAAATGTAATGGAAGGAAGGAAATTAAGATTAGAGCAGAGATAAATGAAATAGACAATAGAAAAAAAAGTTACTTGAAAAGATCAATGAAATTGACAAATCTTTAGCTAGATTGATTAAAAAGAAAGAGAAGACACTAATTACTAAAATCAGAAATGAGTCGTCGACTCCTATCGCGGGGATTGGCTGTTGGCGGGGTTGCTGCTAAGCTCGTGTGCGGCCGAGGTGTCTGCAGCGGCTGAAACGAAGAGAGTTTGGCGCGATGTCTCACATCATTTTACTGGTACAGCCTACCAAAAGGCCAGAAGGCAGAACTTACGCCAACTATGAGTCTGTGAATGAATGCATGGAAGGTGTTTGTAAAATGTAGGAAGAACATCTGAAGAGAATGAATCCCAACAGTCCCTCCATCACATACGACATCAGTCAGTTGTTTGATTTTATCGATGATCTGGCAGACCTCAGCTGCCTTGTTTACCAAGCTGATACCCAGACATACCAGCCTTATAACAAAGACTGGATTAAAGAGAAGATCTATGTGCTCCTTCGTCGGCAGGCCCAACAGGCTGGGAAATAATTGAGTTGGAAGCATTGGGGGGTTGGGGGTGGCTTGGAACACAGGTATGTACAGCTTGCTGTAGTGGAAGTTTTGTATTATAGTAATCCTGTTTCCATTTTGTTATACTCTAGCCAAGATTGAATGTATTAGATGAAATGTGACGATCTTATTCAATCTGAAACCCCTTTTGCCCCCCCCCTTTTTTTTACTTTAACATTTTTTTGATGATTTAGATGGAAGTTCTTTGTCAGTTAATGTTGGTTCCAATCCTTCAAAACTATTCATATCTGCTTTATTTTTTTTTTTTGTCCTTTTTTTTTTTTGCTTATTTATTTATTTTTTCCTTTTTGAGACCGGCCGCACTGCGCTCTGCGCACCAGTCATCCCTATATAGGATCCGAACCCACGGCAGGAGCGCTGCTGCACTCCCAGCGCTGCACTCTCCTGAGTGCGCCATGGGCTCGGCCGCATATCTGCTTTATAACATTCACTGTACAAACCCTTCTTCAAGATGGGGTACGGGGTGGTAACACAGTTTAGTTTTGCCCTCAAGATAAAGTCTTAGTGAAAAATAAATGTTCTTTAGTTATAAAAAAAAGAAAAGAAAAGAAATGAAAGAGACCTGCCAACCACCAAAAAGAAAAAGGGAGGACAGGCTGGTTAGCTTACTTGGTTGGAGTGTTGTGCTTGTAACACCAAGTTAAAGGGTTCAGATCCCCATGCGGGCCAGCAGCAGGAAAAAAAAAAAAAGATGAAAAAAGGGACATTACTATCAACTTCATAAAAACAAAAAGGGTTTTATACTGTGAATAAAATATGCCAATTAGATAACCTAATATGCCAACAAATTAGATAACCTAGATAAAATAGACAAATTCCTACAAACACACAAACTACAAAAACTGACTCAAGGAAAAATAGAAAATCTCAATAGACCTATAAGGAGTATGAAGGTCAAATCGGTAATCAAAAACCTCCCAACGAAGAGAAACCCAGGATCAGATGGCTTCACTGGTGAATTCTGCCAAATATTTAAAAAGAATTGACATTGGGCTGGCCCCGTGGCACGCTCAGGAGAGTGTGGCACTGGGAGCGCAGCGACGCTCCCGCTGCAGGTTCAGATCCTATATAGGGATGGCCGGTGCGCTCACTGGCTGAGCGTGGTGCTAGTGACACCACATCAAGGGTTGCGATCCCCTTACCAGTCACGAAAAAAGACAAAAAAAAAAAAAGAATTGACATCAATCCTTTTCAAACTCTTCCCAAAAATTGAACAGAAGGGGACACTTCCTAACTATGAGGCAAGCATTACCCTGATACAAAGCCAGAGACACTACAAGATAGAAAAGTATAGACCAATATTGCTTATGTAAGAAGAGACAAAAATCCTCAAAAAAATACTAGCATACCAAATTTAGCAGCATCTTTAAAGGATACCATGACCAAGTGAGACTTATCCTGGGAATGCAAGGGTGGTTTAGCATACGAAAATCAATGTAATACACTACGTTATTAAAATGAAGGGGGAAAAAAACATGATTATCTCAATGTAGAAAAAGCATTTGACAATAGCCTTTCATGATAAAACACACACCCACACACACACTAAACTAGAATAGAAGAAAAATTTTTCAACGTGGTAGATGTCATATATGAAAAACTCACAGCTAACATACTCAATAATAAAAATAATAATAAAGATTGAAAGCTTTTTCTCTACATTAAGAAATAAGACAATGATATTTGCTTTCATCTCTTCTATTCAACATAGTCCTAGAAGTTCTAGCCAGAATAATTGGGCAAGAAAAAGAAATAAAGTCATCCAAATTGGAAAGGAAAAAGTAAAACTATCTCTGTTCACATATGATTGGTTCTTATATGTAGAAATCCTAAGGAATTTACAAAAAAACTGTTAGACCTAATAAACAAATTCAGCAAAGTTGCAGAATACAAAATCAATATATAAAAATCAGTTGTTTTTCTATACAGACCAAAAATGAAATCAAGCAAACAATTCTATTTAGCATCAAAAAGATTAAAATACTTAGGAAAAAATTTAACCATGGAAGCACAAGATTTGTGCACTGGAAACTACAAAACATTGCTGAAAGACATTAAAGAAGACCTAAATAAATGAAAAGACATCCCATGTACATGGATTGGAAGACTTAATATTACTAAAATGACAATACTCCTCAAATTGATCTAGAGATTCAATGAAATACGTATAAAAATCCCAGCAGGCTTCTTTGCAGAAATTAATAATCTGATCCTAAAATTCATATTGAAATTTGAGGGACCCCAAATAGTCACAGCAGCCTTAAAAAGGAAGAAAAAATAAAAATAAAAAACAAAGTTGGAGGGGCCGGCCCGGTGGCGCACTGGATAAGTGCGCTGCTTGGGAAGCGCGGTGGCGCTCCCGCCCGAGGGTTCGGATCCCACATACAGACCAGTTCCCGCTCACTGGCTGAGCGAGGTGCGGGGGCAACACCGAGGGTTGCAATCCCGTTGCCGGTCCCCGGTCCGGTATGGGGGCAACACTGAGGGTTGCGATCCGTTGCCGGACACGGAAAAAGACAAAAGACAAAAGACAAAAAAAAAAAAAACAAAGTTGGAGAAGGACTCATATTTTTCAATTTCAAAACTTACTACAGGGCCGGCCCCGTGGCGCGCTCAGGAGAGTGCAGCACTGGGAGCACAGCAACGCTCCTGCCGCGGGTTCGGATCCTATATGGGACTGGCCGGTGCGCTCACTGGCTGAGCGTGGTGTGGGTGACACCACAGCAAGGGTTGTGATCCCCTTACCGGTCACAAAAAGGACAAAAAAAAAAAAAACTTACTACAAAACAAAACAAAACAAAAAACCTAAAATACAAGCTTACTACAAAGCTACAGTAATCAAAACAGTATGGTACTGGCATACAATATCCATATAGACCAATGGAAAGGAATTAAGAGCCCAGAAATAAACCTTCATATACATGGTCAACTGATGTTCCATGAGGGTGCAAGACCATTCCATAGGGAAAGAACAGTTTCTTCAACAAATA